CCACGAAAACATGTCGTGACTGTTGCCGACGAGAAAATGATGAGTATGTACACGATACGAATGCTTTAAAAAGTGTAAGCGCTTTGCAAGTCTTCCAGGTAGCTGCCGTTTTACTGCCGAATGTGGGAAGAAATATGTTGTTATATATATATTGACTACTAAGCAACACCCATCCACGGGCATAAACGTTCGTTTGCTGAGCGCGTCGTGTCGGTGGTAGACAAGATTTTTTTCTTGTCTGGCACCGAGGCAGTGTACTCAGTTCGTGTGTAGAAACGACACGAATTCTTATATAGACCCGGCAACATTTCTTAGCGTGGACACGCGCCCTAAGGGTGCTGGTGAAATTACAGGCACATGGGACTTGTCAACTTATCACATCTCGCACGGTCACGTCACGTTTTCTTCATATTCACACACTGGTAGAAACCTATTCTTAAAGTAATGCATCCAAATTAATACCCTTGATAAGAAATATAAAAAAAATATAAAGTTCTACCATCTCCTGAGTAACCACTCTTTATAAGATACGAGTTTGAGAAACTAAGGCATCGATTCGTTGAATTCGAAGCAGTGTGACATGAGTGAGGCTGTGGCGTGAGGCTAAGACATGAGGTGAGGTGTGAGGTGGGACATTTTTGTGACATGACGTGTTGTGACAAACCAACCAAGCGAGTGCACGAGTTGCTTCGTGTATGAGTAACTCAATACTACACGCAACATAAATAAAAGGACGGAGTATCAGCCGATGTTACTGCGGTGTCGTAACACAGTCCATGTAGCACTTACGGTTGTGCCCCTTGTGCCCCAATACCTATGTGAGGGAAGATCTCTACGCGCCACGGATAGGCAAGTCAAGGTGGCAACATAAAATTCAAAATCAAAATTGTCCTAAACTGGAAGAAGTATCGACATGATTAGAAGAAGACTTACTTGACTACAGTGGCCAGCACATTTAGAATAACTATGTTCTTATGGTTCCTCGAATCTTTATTACATTTCAATTTTATTAATAAATACTTACAGTCTCTGACGAAAATTTTTGAAGGAACAAAAAAACTACCCATATGTCAAGTTTTTACGATAAAGAATTAGCATAGACTATGTGCTGACATCCTCTAAGGCTACGACGAGTCGTGCGGCTCATGGTAAGACGCATTAAATGTGGTTTTCCACCGGCGAGTCTTGGCGAGACGAGGCGAGACGAGGATTGAAATTTGTATGACAAAATTTCAATTCTTTCCTAGCCCTTTTCGGTGGAAATATTCTGGATTGACGAGGATAACCGAGGCGAGAATTGAAATATTTGTTGATGTAATATTGAACCGTATTGCTGCCATGATAGAGTATTATATTCTTTACAGGAACACGACAAAAGCTCACGCGAGATCGCGATGGCTATTAATGGAAATTTTTAAATTTTTGTCAGTCGCGACTCGCCGGTGGAAAACCACCTTAAGACGCCTACTCTAAATTGCAGTGCCACTCGGAGGTTTAAATTGCAAAGACCTTGAGGTACTGCCACTGCGCCCACCGTGTAAAAACTTCGCGGCGCATGCGACGCGATAAAAAAGATCCTATTTCATAAGAGCGAAAAAAGGACAAAGCCGTCGCGGACCACTCGTCAAATATTGGTAGATTTTTTATTTAAAATTTTTTTGGACCTTTAAATTTTGTCTTTATGTAGATATATTTTTTATTAAGAATTTATTTAAAATTTAATATGATGTAAACAATAGGAATTAAATGACTATTTTTAATAGACTAATGTATAAATAGTTTCTTATTTTAATTATGTTGTTTATAGGTGATTATGACAATAATTTGGGTTCGGCAAATTATACAGCGCCTCTAGCTCTAGTTGTAAGGAGAAACAACGGAACGGAACGTAAAACAGACCCTGTGGTATGTCTGGGCATGTCATCTGTTACCGACTTTCTTCAAGGTAAGTTATTTTTTGAGACTTTTGATATAAAAAAGAATAATTTTGATTAGCCTTTACTTTTATTTTGCAACTAATGTTCGTTTCTTGTGTGTGGTGGTTTTGATTTAATTAATCTTTATTTCACTTTATTTTAACTATACAATAAACAAACTCCACTGCTAGTTAACCACCTTATTAAACTAATTACATACCTACTCTTAAGGCAAAATGGAACGGGCAAAACGGACCTGGTCCGTTTTGCCGTCAAATGTTTTTATCTGCAATATTATTATCGGATTTTGATAATTCGAATTATTTTTTTAGATGCTCAATAACTATAAAAGAAGGCCAAATTGGCAATCTTGGTGTGAAGAGGAAATAAAAAGTGCAATTGAAAATGTAGCAAATCGTGAACCGACAGTAACGACACACGAACATTCAAGGGGAAATCCACAAAAAAAGTTTTAATTGCCTCTGTGGCCGAACGGTTACCATGCCGACTGACGACTGACTGCTACGCAGAGGTCCCAGGTTCGATTCCCGGGCCGGGAGAAATATTTGTATGGCCTACATTATTTCTCTTGTGACTTTGGGTGTAATTTGTGGTTGTCTATGTGTGTGCACGTGGCACCCGCGACACAGGGTTTCTCTAGTGCGGGGCTATGTTGAATGTGTGCGTTATTATTATTATTATTATTGTTGTTCATATATGTTTTCTGAATCAACCTAAGGATGGGTTCAGTGTCTAAAGTGTTCTTTACTGGCACATTGTAGTTGTGCCGGTGTTGAGGACGATGAAGGAGTTAGGTTTGTTTGTAATAGGTGTGCTTCTGAGTAAGTATAACTAATTGTTAATGTGAAATTTTTATTGAATTGATATTCAATTATTTTTTGTGAAATTACTTCACTAGTATGTTATAATTATTAATATTAATAGGTCCATTTTACCTTCAAGCGTGGTCCGTTTTACCTCAACACGAGGGCAAAATGGACCAATTCGAGGGTTTTGGAAATCATCCAATATCTTCTTAATCTGCGATTTGATTAAAGTACTAGACATAGGCAAGTAAGATGAATAAATGCTCAAAAATAAAATGTTAAGCAAGTTATATATTTCTATTATAAGTTGAATTTTCCTTAACTGGTCTGTTCTATCTTCTGTTCCCATAGGGGAACGATTATAATATAGATAAATGCTTTATATAGATAAATGGCTGCTTTCTGCATAACACGGTCGGATTATCGACCATTGCGCGTTTACACTGTATAAAAAACAGCGATAGTAATGACAAAAGATAATTATTTGATATCATGAGTACGCATAATCCACTATTATCAAAGTTTAATACGTACACCTGAAAATACCTTGCGCAATATTTTCGGTGATATATTATAAAGGATAGGACGCGTTCGCGATACAGGTAAGCAATACTAGTAATAATTCTGTAGCTACGCTCTCAAAACTGTTCCTTTTTATGTGAAAGGTAATATGTGTACCTATGTGGGATGAGACTTAGCTATGTTTTTAAACATCCCGCAATTCTGCTAATTTTAAATCATCTTAGTTGTGGGCCGAGTAGAGTGTCAATCCTGCTAAATTTTGTACATTATCGCACCCCTCATGGAAGAATGGCATACTTGAAGTTACGTTAAAAACTTTTATTGATCCATTAGAGACAGAAAATATAACCCACATCCTCTCCAATTCTTGTAAATCTATCTACAATATTAGTCGATAGCGTTACAAGAAGTGGAGAGGATGTAGGTTATCTTTTTCTGTATCTAATGGAGCAATAAACATGCTTGACGTCACACCACTTATACCATTCTTCCATGAGGGGTGCGATTTGGTAGTACCTATCGCGGCAGCCGCAAATGCATCCTGAAAATATTGTTATATGAAATGCGTAGAGCATTGTAAGCCCTCTTAGGGCGCGATCCCATTATATTGTAACATCTTATTTACGCTTGGACGAGTGTCGCGTCTAGCATGTTCCCATATTACGACTATCTACCGTGACTGTGTCGTGAACGTATATTTTATCGTTGAACGACTGTCGTGTCCAACTGTTCCCACTGGATCGTGACGACAATTTATGGGTTCACGGTAGCTGCCTTGTCGTTTGCACGACAAAATCATCGTTACATTTTTAGCGTGACGTTTTGTTTATCGTCCGACCGTTGTCGTTCTAGCTCTTCCCAATGTCACGACAGTCTGTCGTCGTAACGTCAAAAAAGTCGTGAACGACAGTCAATCGTGTTGTTCTTTGTGTGAACAACTTCATTTAAATATTCAAGCCACGACACTTTAAACTGCACGACTATCTATGTATATGTAGAATGCTTTAATAAAGGTACCAATTTCATCTTTTCAATGGACGAAATTAATAGTTTAAAATTCCGTAATCTGACAGTTATCCTTTTTAAGCATAAGATATTGATGATTATCACTAATTACAGGTTTCTTATCACGATATGATTTCTTTTTATTTCCCGATTTTTCGGAACGGCAGATGACTAAGACCAGACATATCTGTCTACCCTCTTTCGCTGTCGAGAGAGAAGAGGGAAGTCGATAATCAGTTTGTGAATAACCATGAAACCTTTAAAATCTATATATTTGTATCTGAAATTACAGCAGAGATGTATGGCTGCAGAGACTCTGATGGATAAATCACGGAATCTTGTGATGAGAGAGCGTTGCGGCGTGTAAGCAGATGTAGTGACAAAGGTAGAGAAAGGGATGCTTAGATGGTTCGAATATGTAGAGAGAATGAATGAAAGAAGATTAACGAAACAGATTTATATGGCGAGTGTGAGAGGGCAAGTTGGTAAGGGCCGACCAAGGCGAACTTACCATGATCAAATTGAGGCCATCCTAAAGAGGGGCCAGCTCAAAGTACCCTTAATTGACGAGCGTGTATGAAAGCATTGATGCGTATTAATGAGGCGAACGATGTGTGTCAGGACCATAGCAAGCGGGAGACTGTTATCTCTGCCTACGCAGAGATGATCTGCCTGCCCAATTAGAAAAAGGCGTGAAGTATATATATGTATGTATTACAGCAAACAAACAATGGCTTCAGCTGAAGAAGTGCAGAAGATGATGGCGTCTATTTCCAAGATAAGAAATGATGTGCTGTCCCCAATGGAAAAACAACTAGAACAATTACTAAACGAGCCGAAAGATAACCCTGTTGTCACTCAAGAACTTGAACAGAAATTTGAGGTAAAGTTCATATATATCGAGTTCTTATGTTTTCGCAATTGTTACACATAGGAAATGAAACTATTTTTCCGGATTTAAATCGCGTATTACTTTAAAATAATTTGTAAAACTTAATGTAGCGTAAATTGGAATGTTTTTTTCGTAAAATTAAAAATAAGGTATTTAATTAATAACTATTGTAACTATAGTGAAAAAATAGGGTGGCTTGCATCAATATTAGACATAACTGGTTGAAGACTGTACCACCTCAGTCAACCGTGACCATGGGACCTGTAAAGGGCCCGAAACGTCGGTTTGTTTGAAAAAACAAATATACGCGATTTAAATCCGGAAAAATAGTTTCATTTCCTAAAGTTCATATATTTGTCACGCGGGTCTTGCGTAATAATGATAGATAGTATCGCTTGGTCCACATCATTTATTGTAAAAGGTATAACAGTAGGGAAAATGTGAAGGAAAAGAAAGAAGAAAGGAACAGGCTGTAACAAAACCAATGGCATAAACACGTGCAATAATATACAAAACAACACTTTAGTAGCAGAAGAGCTCCACGTGAAAGAGTTCGTCTAGGGAAGTACTGCCAACTTACCTATTTCTGCCGCCAAGCAGCAATGTCAGCATTACTGTGTTCCGGTTTTGAAGGATAAGGGTGCTGGTGAAATTACAGGCACATGAGACTTGTCAACTTATGTCTCAGGGTGACGGGCGCAGTGGCATAGTATCCTGATCTTTGCGATTTAAAGCTCTGAGTGGCACTGCCTTTGTAATGTATAGAAGTGGCGCACGACTTGGTCGTCCCGACACGTGGTATTTTAAGAAAAAACAAACACTCCCTTCGGATTACACTTACCAACTGACTAAAAAACTTACCCGAAGAGTTACTTACCTATAAGCAGTTTAGGTTTACGAGTATATAACCAGAAATAGAGACGAAGTAAGGGCCATCCATCCCAACTCATCAGGCAAATGGGCCTTATATCACTTTTAAATATCAACTCTCGTTTGCGCTGAAATAAAAAATTAGTACAGCGCCAACAACTGACCTGTGAGTACATTTCCGTATATTCCAAAAATATTCTGTATTTATTGTAATAAAGATAATATCTTTAACTATGGAGGGCTGTTGCATTCGGTGGTGTGGGAAAAACAGCAAATTCATCGGTAATTAAATATGTGATTTTTCAATTTTCGTCCATTATAGCAAAGCTCTATTTAAACTGGTACATTTGAAGTGAAACAATTGACGACACCCGTCAATTGTTTCGAATTCGGGCTGGTCAATCGGATTGTCACTGTAATGAATTTGGCAGAATAATTGTCAAACAAATTAAATTACATTTCCTAATACCGTAACCTTATACCGTTGGAACACGATCGAATTTTTTTTTTTGAAAACGTGAATAGGCGTTAATGGTACGTCGTCTTTCATATAACGCTAGATGGCAGCACATCGAATGAAACTTCAATATAAAATCAAAACGTCGTAACTTGCAATAATAGTGAATTTTCAACAATATATATAAAAGCGAAAATGGCGGGCTGAACTCGAGTTTGCGGAACTCCCTGTATCGTTCTTTTTTTGTACACTTCTATTGTATTTATTGCTCTGTGATTGATACTGATTTAATATTCATTTACTTCCAGAAAGAATTAGAAGAATGCAGACGTGAATTAGAAGAAAACTATCAACAACAACTTCAAAAGCAAAGGGAAGAAATAAAAAAAGAATTATTCGAGCATTTCGAAGAAAAACTAAAAAATATAGAAGAATTAAAAACTAAATTACAAAATCAAATCGACGATATTCGCAAAATGTTTTATACATGCCAAAGTGAGAGTACAGAGTCACACAATCAAATATTGACTCAAGAGGAACAATATGTTACAACCAGTGTAACACCACCCGAAACAAATAACTTAGAAAGTCCAGAACACGAAATTAGAGGTACTTACGAGAATTGGGGTTTTAGTAACAGCAAAACATTTCATTTGATACCCATCTCTGAATTGAAAAACATGTTAAATACATTAGTACATTTGGATGTCACTGTAAAAGCACAAAAAGATGAAGGAGTAGCCTTGATTAACCAATTACGGGCAGCATCCGAAAGTTTAACAGTGACAATGAACAGCAGGTTCCCTCCTAACGGTGAATTTTATTATTGTGGATTTTGGGTCAACGATTTACACGATATTCTTGATCGTATTGGCAATGAATGCGGTAATGTCAACTATAACAAATCCAAAAATGTTATTTTTACAAAATTCATGCAAACCGGTAATAAGGAAGGTTGGACCGAAGCTTACAATTGCGCAGGGCATCATTATTTGTTAGATATAACGACACCACAATCGCGTTTGGATCAATATTTGTGGCTGCTATGTTGCTTGGTAAATATTGAAAAAAATTACAACGTCAACGAGTTTGAAGTGTATAATGTTGATACTTTTGAGAAAGAATATGATTTGACTTGGAGAGAAGTCGAGTAGTAAATTCAGCTGGTCAATCACTGTCAGTCCTATACAGCAAATTACAGTCACTGACCGAAAAACTGGTTTTTCTTGTAAGATCCAAATGTGGAAAAAAATAGTAACTACAACAATTTAAACATTAGGGACACGGCCGCTCCTACGCAACATAGCTGAGAGGCGAAAAATATACATCCAAACTGACACTGACCCAAGCCTAGTGGCCGCCGTTAAGGATGTATTATTAATAAATTCAGTTCAATATATATTTATGAATACAATACAGATTCAGGATATGTTTTAAAATGGCCAGGAGATTGATGCGAGTGGAATGAGTGAAGGAGGTGTATCAGGATGGTAGTGGAAGCCCGTGCTTTCTGCCTTTCCCGTTGGGAGACAGGATAAAGGCGTGATTGCATCTGTGTAATATAAATTAATATTGTTTGATTTTTGTCCTCGATGTTTCTGACGTATATATCTAGTGACAACCGTAGTGCACAAATAAATAATAAAGACCAAGCGCGGTTAGTTCGAAAAATTCGCATGTGAGAAGATGTTGAATCCCGCCTCATCTGTCTTTCGAGATACGTTGCAATCGACGTCCGAGACGTCGAGGTAAATACTAATAGAAATGACGGTTCGAAATGTCACAGGGATCACAAGCTATAGTCGTATTTTCTCGGATTAGAAAAACTTAGTGCACAAACGACATCCGAAGTGGATTCGAATTTTCTAGATTTGTAGTCTCGGATCCGGAATGAATACGAACTGGATACCGTGCTGAAATGCGCAAAGTCCCGAATTTAAAATCAAATACTGTGTGAAAACCGTCAAAGTTTAAATCAGTGCATTTTAATAATTTTGGTATTTAATGCATAACTGATATTGTCATTTTTACTAATTAGACCACCAAGTGAGTTTGTTGAGATATTATTATTATTATAGTTTGTTGAGGATCTCACGGATAACGAGGACATAGAGAGATAGCGACGGGTGTTGGCTGTTAGAAGCAATATGTTGGTGCGCAGATTCGCACGTTGCACAGTACCCGTGAAGGTGACACTTTTCAAGTCATTTTGCCAATGCTTCTATACGTGTAATCTGTGGGTCAACTTTACGCAGAAGACGATCAACGCCCTGCGCGTTCAGTACAACAACGCGTTCAGGGTTTTATTGGGTTTGCCATGGTACTGCAGCGCATCAGGCATGTTCGCGGATGCCCACACGGATGGTTTCCATGCTATCCTTAGAAAGAGAGCTGCCTCATTAATAAGTCGTATCCGTTGCGGCACGAATGAGATTATGCGCGTTGTGGCTGGTAGAGTGGATTGCCCGATCATGCTACATTGCATGAAACTGCATTTAAAACCATGTCGATGACTTATTTGATATTTAATTTAATTTGTTTAATTATTCTATGTTTTTAAGTTGCCTTTTGTTTATTTTAATGTGTGTAAACTTATTGAATTAACTGTAAAATATGGACTGTAGTTGTCTGAATAAATGAATTTTTGATTTGATTTGATTATACGCAGCGGGCGTATGGGGCTCTCCGGATTCAATATAATAATGTTGTCAAATGTCAGGGATGTTCGCAGAAGCAAGAGTTGACTGCTTCTAGCGCAAGCGGAGCACGTCTCTGGTGCGCCGAGTGCGGGCCAGCCCCAACCCCATCCTGCGCTCGATAGCGGACAGGTTCATACGTGAGGCACTGCTGTGAATTGTATGTTTCCAGCAGTGTCTATTGTGTATAGTTTTGTACTTACTAACATTAGCGTTAAGTGGTTTTACTAACAATTAATATGTGTCAATGTTACATGTAATAAATAAATAAATATTATTATTAAATGAAAAATTTTCAGCATTCCAACTAATTTTAAATCACCTCGGTTGTGTGTGGATAGAGTGTCAGTGGCTGGATTTTGTACATTTGGTATTCTGCTAAAAGTTAAGATCACTGGCTAGCCATTGAGCTTCTATACAACTGCCATTGCAATTTTTTGCTATTCTGCTCTTCAATGACAAATCGATGATTCTACTATTTATTCTGGGTATGGTGGATTACAACGAAGTGGGGGTACGGAGGGAATTAATACTTAGCATTAGTTGTGTGGGTCTTTGCGTTCCCCATGGGTATGTGGAGCGCCGGCGCCTTAGTTATTGGCTATCCATCGTGGGAGAACCGACCTGCTGAACAGGGCACCACTGACACGACACACGAGTATATAATCAGAAATAGAGAGGAAATGTAATAAGTCCGAATTCGATACAATTGACGGGTGTCATCAATAGTTTCATTTCAACTTGGCCAGTTTAACTTGAGCTTTGCTATACAAGAATACAAGAATACAAGATATTTATTCGCTGAAAAATGTAGTTTACAATGGTGTTATAGTATATTATTATTAGATCGTACATTTCACCAAAACTTGGCATGCGAATATTTTACACAATTCTTATTTAAATCACGCACAGTGGTTAAATTTTACATTTTATGTTATCAATTAAAAAATCATTTATATTGTAGTAGCATTGTGTAACTAACAAATTATGTAATTTTATTTTAAATTGCCTACAATTTAGTTCTTTAACTGCATCTGGTATTTTATTAAATAATTTAGGTGCCAATATAAACATCGTTCTATTGTAAAATTCCAAGGTGGGGCGTTGTTTTGGCCGTATTTCTATTTTGTTCCTTGTTTTCCTGGGATGTCTGGTTTTCACTAGATTAAAGTTGCCTGGATTTTGTTTTATATAAACACAGGCCTCGTAAATATACATAGATGGTAGGGTTAAAATCTTTAGTTTTCTAAAATAGGGTACACAGCTTTCTTGCTGGCCCACACCAAACATGGCCCTGACACATTTCTTCTGGGTTTTAAACAGTGGTGTAATATGTGTTGCAGCAGCGTTCCCCCAAAGCAGCAGACCATATCGAAAACTAGAGGCTACATAGGCGTGATAAGCACAAAGAGCAGTTCTTTGTGACGTTATTCTCGTCAGATTTTTCAGGACATAATACGTATTTACTAAGTTTAGTATTTAACTTATTTATATGTGACTTCCAGCTCAAGTGATTATCAAGAGTAAGGCCCAAGAAATTTGTTTCATCAACCTGAGCTACATTTTGTGTATTGTAGGTTACAGTTAAATTTTTTGGTCGTGATTGTGGCATGTAGAATTGCATAAACTTAGTCTTGTCCAAATTTACTACGAGATTATTTAATTGTAGCCATTTTATAGTGTCACTTAGTGCATCATTTAAAGTTGATTCATATTCATCAATATTAGTGCATCTCACAACCACAGAGGAATCGTCAGCAAAAAGTATCATCTTTTGTTGAACATGGTCTGGCAAGTCGTTAATATAGAGAATAAATAATAGTGGCCCTAAAATACTGGAGGAATATCGAAAAATTACATATTTAATACTTAATATTGCCTTAGGTTAGTCCTGTAATGATAGTTGCTAGCTTATGTATGTAAAATAAATAAAAAAATTGCTCACTAAAGGTGATAAAAAAGATATGCACACTAATTTCCATGCTAGTTGTGGTAATATAATATGTAGTAATAGTGTATGGCGGTGTGGGAAAAACAGCAAAACATCTAATGAAATGAAACGACTGACGCACGCTTGACTGACCATGACCATGGGACCTGTAAGGGGCCCGAAACATCAGTTTGTTTGAAAAAACAAATATACGCGATTTAAATCCGGAAAAATAGTTACATTTCCGATGTGTAACAATCGCGAAAACCTAAGAACTCGTTACATCTATTTGTCAAGTTTTATTGAAAACGGTTAAAGGAAAGTGGTTCATCATCAACAGCCTATCGTAGTCCACTGCTCGACATAGGCCTCTCCCAATACGCGCCATTGGAAAGTGGTGGAAATCCAATAAACCTGATTTATTCCCAAACTTGCTACCCTAAGAGGTGGACTATTTTCTTCTAATTTAAATGGGTCCAACCATCTGTTGCATCCTTCAAATTATCTTTTAAGAAATTTTTATTATCTAGCCAGGTGTACAACAGCACTGGCAGTCGTGCGGTGCGATTGTGACATTCCACTACTGACACTAATATCACAACCACACATACATGGTAACACAGTGATCACACAATACACGCTCACACAGACTCTACACGTACTCGCAGTTTCTCCTTTTTTAAATTGAATTTTCATATTTAAATTAAATTCTTTATTTTTCTTTTTACATGGTCGAAGCCACTTTATTTTTGTTTAACTGTAAATTGTTGGCTTCACTGAAAATCAGCGTAACGAGATGTTTCCCTACGTCTCGTTACAAATAAGCTGAGTGGAGACCTTTTTGGTACCATTTTAAATATAATACTGTTTTATTTTAAGTAAATGTTATAATAAGGTTATTTTAATTTTTGTTTTTACGTTCTATTTGTATTATGGTTACCAAATAAACTTTTTTTCTTTCTTTCTTTCTTTCATTGAACCTATTTAAACGTAGTGACATGTAAAGGAATATGAAAAAGCTAAAACGCTGAATTTAAATTGTAATGTCATCGCAGTACTGTCTAAGTTTGCTTGCTTCGCTGTCAGTCGAATAAACGAAAACTAAAGCGTGAATGACGGTCTGTATACGATTTTAACGCCCATAAGTTCGGGCACTTTTTAGCGCGGACCCGACGTCCATATAATGGTAAGTCAATGGGTCCAACATATAAATGAGATACGGAATCTTTTTATTGGACAATAAGATGCAATATACTGGTACGGTACAATTAAAGCTTATATATATATTAAATACTAGAAACTAAAACTAGGATGAAATGATATGAATAAACTTAGATCCCGCGACACGGTGCCCAAGATGTGCCCATGATAATAATTACAACAAACTAGTCATTGACTTACAATTATATGGACGTCGGGTCCGCGCTAAAAAGTGTCCGCACTTGTAAGGCGCTAAAATCGTATACAGAGCGCCAAACTCCGCTTTAGTCTTCATTTGTTCTACTGACAGCGCGATACTGCGATGACATTACAATTTAAATTTCGAATAGGTTGACTTGGGACATTTTTTTCGTGGTTTTTGTATTAGACCCGTCGTCCATTTATTTGTAAGTCAATGAAACTAGTGGAGTAATTTCACAAAAAACAATTGAATATCAATTCAACACAAATTTAATTAATATTATATTGTTAAATCTATTGTTAAATCTTTTTCAACAACGATAGTGCCGAAATAGGTACAAAGCGACGACCTAAATACTTTAATTCCTATTTTTTATATAATATCAGCCAGAACGATCATTAATCATTACGATACCTTGCAAGTAAATACAGAGATATGAGACGTCGCCCGCTTTATGCAGAAGGTAAACAAGTTAATTTTGAAACCATGCTTTTTTTACGAAGCAGTTACAAACAACTTCAGTTGCAACTACTTCATTACTTGTGTATTCAGTGCTTTTAACTATTTATATCAAGTAATTTGTTGTTTTTCATCATACCAAGTCACGGGACGAACAAGTTGCACCTAAACAAGTTAATAATAATAATATCGTTTATTGCAAAACATGTCGTTACATTTAGGTCTTTTAGTAGTTGATAAAGTACCCTGTAAGGGCGCAGTAATGTCAATTTTAAGACATACAGTTTGATTACAATTAATTATAATATTCTGAAAGTCGAATTCAAATTTAAAGTATTTTCAAAATAAATCAATTAATTATTAATAATTAAACAATTAAACAAAATTAATTGTTAAGTAACTATTATTATTAATTAGTTAACTTTGAAATCATGCTTTATTTACAAAGCAGTTGAAAACATCGGCTTCAGGTGCAACTACTTCATTATTTGTGTATACAATTTTTTAACTATATATGAAGTGAAGGGACAAGCATGTCGTACGCCAGGGCCCCAACTCTGGTCATCTTAAATCATCTCAGTTGTGTGTGTAGAATGCCAATGGCAGTATTTTGTACTTTGGTATTCTGCTACAAGTTAAGACTAGTGGCTTGTCAGTCGCTAGCCATCATCCAGTCTATAATCAGAAATAAGGGCCATTCATCCCTGGCAACTCATCAAGCAAATGGGCCTTATATCACTTTTATATATTAAGTCTCGTTTGCGCTGAAATCACAAATTAGAAGACTGAAATAATACAGCGCCAACAACTGACCTGTGTGTACGTCTCCGTATAT